TTTACCGGAAATTGATCTCAGGACCTTGTGCTTGCCAGGCAGGCACTTGAACCACTGAGCTATATCCCTGGCCCTAAATTATTTTATATATAACATTATCTAGAGTTTGCTGTACACAAATGTGTGTATGTGTGTGTGTGCACGCGTGTAAGTAAAACAGAGTTGAGGATTAGTTTCCACGGTCTTCTTTCCACCTGTCTTTCTCTCTATGTCAGGGATTCTAACTTATTGTATATTGTTCTCATTGGTCTTAGCTGCTTCTCCTCGTAGCATGGGGCCAGGCACTTATGTACCTGCAAAAATGCCTGTTGAGTATTTCTCTATCTTACTACGTTAAAATAGCAATGATGAAAACTGTATATTACTAAAGTGAATACAACTACAGAATTCTTGATGGTTACAAAGAAGTGTTGAAAACAAAAGTATTGGACTGGGGAGATGACTCAGTGGAATAAGCACTTCCCTGGCAAGCACAAGGGCCTGAGTTCAATCCCCAGTTCCAAAAAAGAAAGAAAGAAAGAAGAAAGAAAGAAAGAAAGAAAGAAAGAAAGAAAGAAAGAAAGAAAGAAAGAAAGAAAGAAAGAAAACAAAAGTATTAATTGTACAATTTTGGTATTTTGCATATGAAGAAACCATTAAGACTGAATTATAAGGGTTTCAAATTAAAACACACAAAAATTGTATAGGTGTCTTCTGTGAAATATTCAATGAATTACAGAGTAGAATCTGTATTCAATGATATTTCCTTTTTACCCTATGAGGGTCACACAGTAGAAAGAATAAAAGTATAAAGAATATATAAAAAAGTTATCATCCCTGGGGCCAGGGAGATGGCTCAGTAAAATAAGTGCTTCCCTGGCAAGCACAAGGGCCTGAGTTCAATCCCTGGTTCTGAAAAAAAAAAGTTATCATCCCCCAACTGTACTACTTTTAGTTTATTCTTGTCCTTTTATCATAAATGCTTGAGACATGAACTTTCAAAGTTCAGGCTCTGAAAAAATGAATTTGGTGAATGAGGAAATCAGATTTTGCTGCCATCTCTACTGACTTGCTACAATGTAACCACTGTTTTGGGTAAGATTATAGTCATTATTTCTGCAAACATTACATTATTAAGAGAAGTAGATACTTAGCAATAAATAAGAACCTAAATATATGCCATAAAGATACTGGCTATTCAATTCCAACATTAGATATACACAAATATATTCAAAACATACTTTTATCTATTTATAATATCAAGTAGATATTTAAAATGTTAAATATTATGCACTTTGACCCAATATTAAAATAATATTACCAAACTCCAAATCATATCTCAAAATTCTAAAAACAATATGCCAGAAGACAAAAATTTGTGCTACCATGTATTACTTCCTTATCACATGTTTTGAATTCTCCTACCTAATAATACAATCAAGTGAGAAGCTTAACACTTATTTTGATTACAATTGATTCATTTCAGGGGATTACAGGCATTATTATATAACATTCTATATAACTTAAAAATTAGACTTATGGAAAAAGGAAATATTCAAAATTATTCACAATTTCCAGGTGTTTCAAGTTCAAGATTCTGTGCTTATAAAGTGCTAATAGTTCTCCTTTTACTTCCCGGTCATTTTATAAGTACTCTTTTTCTGCTATAGTCTCTAAAATAGAGATGGATAGCCCCAAAATACACTTCTTTGCATTTTCTTTACTCAAGATTCATGTAACACATAATTTCATGTACAGAATTTCATCTTTCCAAAGTCAAGATAGAGAGGGTGTGCTCTTAGTTGCCTATTTCAAATGCAAACGATTTTAATTTAAAATAATAGTGTTACGCTTGAAGGTGGGCATTAAAATCCTAGGGAGAAAAAAAATGAAGTCTTTTGGAAGGAGAGAAAGACATAGGAGAAAAAGTATGGCTGCATATGCACATATATGTGCACATGTGTACATACACATATGTGTGTGTGCATGCACTTGTGCATTTGTTTACAGAAAAAAGCCAAAAGTTATTTTTTTGAAAGAGGAAAATGCTACAAGCATCCTAGTTAGAAACATAATCTGGAGATTGTAAAATTAGCAGTTATGTAAATAGCAAAGAATACAGAGAAAAAAATTATAAGCCTTTCCATGTGACATTTATTTGAACCAGGATAATACACAAAACTGCTATTCAGGCGCAACATTTTTGTGTCTAAAATTTTCTCAATGAAGAAAATGTGTAAAAAGCAATGTTGCCTGTTTTCTATTTGTTTAGGCTCCACAAATGCCCAAAGTAAGCGTGACCTACAAATTTTAAGGAAGACACAGCATTAAGAATAACTAAAGCATAAAAAGAGACTGAGAACATTGCTTTTTGATTTCCTTTCTTATGGAATACAACAAAAATCGTATGTACCTTTGTGTTTAAAATCAATTAACACTTATGATAACAGAGAAAAGTGACACTTGTGGCATGCTTGGCAAAGAATAAGGCAAGTGGCCACATTTAAAGGCCCTCAAAGGAAATTTCCCACCTTAAAAGGTTTCCTTACAGAGCGTGCAGAGGCCGGCACCTCCTTCTTTGTTCTTCCCCCAGTTCCCATTAGAGCTGATGATTAAGGCTCTACCCACTAGCAGGGTCCCCACAATTATCCCATTGTAACGGTGCTCCACCAGGCGCCCTGCTACGGGCAACATCAAGTCATTAGAGAGCTGCAAGGGATCATGAAGAAGGTTATTTTAATTCCTCTTTCAGCTCTTCGCAGGAGTGGCCCTTTAGTTCACCGAGCTTCGGGTACTTGCTTTCAAACTAACAAGCAATACTATAAATGGAGCCTGCATTATCATGATTACGGACAATCTAAGGCACTTGAGGGCCAAGAATTCTCAGACCTCAGTGTATGCTGTTTTCTATTTACCAGCGAAAAATCTATGGATAGTGCAAACAGGACAGGAGGGTGTGAGCGCGATGACTCGGGTGCGGAGAGAGCAAGGGAACATAAAAGAACCCAGGCAAAAGGGAGTAGCAGAGAGAGCGTGCAGCCTTGGCTATTTTGTTGGCATCTAAAGTATTTTTACCCATTTTCTTGCTCTTCCACAGCATAGTGTTCCAGCTCTGTACCGGGAAGGGGCTGGACTGGGGGAGGAGGTAGAGGAACATTGGCCCAGGTCGATCCATTGTTTTTCTGTGGTTTGGAAGAATTTTTATTTTTTTTCTTTTTGCCACCTTTCCCACCTGAAAGTAACAATACATTAATTCAGAGCTGCTGCCCATCAGAAGGAACAGAAACTGTCAAATGGAAAGATGCATTCACGTTTTCAAAACACCAGAAATCGGCATGTTAGAAACAGTAAAAGCTATAAACAATGAAATAATATAATCAGAACAAACCCTCTTAGAAATCATTGAGGAAGATACTATGTCTATGCCAGGGCATCAACTAGAGGGCTGAATAAACCCAAAACGTGGGTGTTGTATCCAGAGCACATTTAGTGATTTACTCATGTCTGCTGCCTCCACGTTTTCATTGTTAGATGAAATAATGGTCCAAAGCAAATTCTTTGAAATGTCAGATTTTAGTGCATTTATAATGCTCTTTTGCATAATCACCCTCAGTGGAAAATAGAGTGTCTAAGGATATAAGCTAAAGTTTTCCATTAGAATTTACTCTATTTAATTAATCCAGGAGAGTAACATGTTTCTCTCAAAAGTCACTGATAAAAATCAATCACCTACAATCTGGAGAATACCTGCAAATCTCTCACAATGCAACATTTCACAGACTTCTTGACTAATGAATGGTACGATTATTTTTGCATATAGTGAGAACAGTTCCCAGCAGCTTTAAGCATAACATTTCATAAATTCCAAAAGGAGGGAAATTAATGCAAGCACAGTAATCAGTTACAGTACTATCTGCAATACAGATGAACTCATGCACAACTATGAGAAGATAAGTCAGCAGTGTCGGAGCTATGTCTCAGATTACATGAAGCTTGATGAAATATAAAAATAAAGTTCATCCTTGCATACCGCTGTGATTTTTATTCTTCTGAGATTAAATCAACAAAGCTTCTTCATACAGTAATGGGTCCAGTTGGACAGGGAAATGAATAGTTCTTGGGTAAAATGCTCACGAATGTTTCAGTGGTTCCTAAGTAACTTTCATCACTCCCACCATGGTGTATAATTAAAAAGGTAGTCCTGACCTCCTACCTTCCACCTTTCTGGAACTAAAAGTTGGTGCATGAAATGTTTGTGGCAGGGCTCTTTAGTCAAATTGTAAAAGATGTCCTTCTGTCTTCTTTGTTCTATCAATTGCTAAATTAGTATATACAATTTAAGAATAGGCCAGAAAGTGATAAAACTGTTAAGCTAGACAAACACACTAGTGCCAATTATGGAATTGGGTGTGTTTTCTACATAGTGTGCACAAATATAAATACCTGTGCAAACAAATGCTTTCCCTTTCCTTCAATTCTTATTTTAGATACAAAGGAGGATGAGTACCTTCTTTTTAGAGAGGACCTTGATTTCTGGGTTTGAAGACTTGCTTCTGACTTGTGAAGTTACTTAACATGTATTGCTTAATTTCCACACATGTAATGGAAATATAAAGCTACTTCTATGAATCATCTTTAGGATTATTTGAGAAACAATGTATATAAAGCTGTCAAATGCAGATTGGCCTCAAAATCACAGCAATCCTGCTACCTCAGCCTCCCAAGTGCTGGGATTACAGGTGTGCTCCACCATAACTGTTTGTTTGTTTGTTTGTTTGTTTGTTTTTTAACAGCTTCTTGATTTTCAGCTGAGGCTGAAATTGAACTCACTATGTAGCCCAGACTGGCCTCAAACTTACAGCAATTCTGCCTCAATATCCCAAGTGCTGGGCTTACAGACATGTTCCGCCAAGCCTGGGCATAGATTCATCTTCTACAGTTGTTCTTCGATTCACCTTCTCCAGGCCCAATAAGTATGGAGTCATAGTCAGATGGATAAGCTTCTAATTATTTGTAAAGTAAATGAAGCTTAGTCCTTGATTTCCCTAATCCCCCCAAACCAAACAGACTAAAGAATGTATATCTTGTTGTAGGATCAGAACTACATTTCAGCAACTGAAAGAGGATTGGGTTTTACTACTCATACTGCTAGGCTTCCCACCTTATGTACCTCTCTTATGCTTTTTGGCATTTTTTGGTTTTTTTCAGAACCTGGGATTGAACTCAGGCCCTTGCGCTTGCTAGGCATTCCGAGCCATCTCCCCTGCCTTGCTTTTTGACTTTGTACATGTAAAATCATTTTCTCTTTCCACAGTACTTTTATTTATTTATTTATTTATTTATTATGTATTTAGTACAGGGTCTCATTACACAGATCTGACTCATAGTGATTCTCCTGTTTTCAGCCTCCCAAGTGCTGGGATAACAGGCACACACCACCACGCCCAGCCTTCATCACTGTCACAGCGCACTGCTGGGGGCCGGGGCCAGCATGGCACGCTGGGGATCGAGCCCCTGTCCTTGCATCTCCCTAAGCAGGCTCCTTAGTCTGCTGAGCTGTCCTACTGGCCCTCCATAGCACTTTTAGAAGTGTTATCTGATTACTTCCAGAACTCCAACAGAAGCAAGTAGGTGAAGATACTGAAAACTTTCTGAGTGCTATTTGTCTACATGCTCATGAAAGAGAAAATTTGTATTCTCAGTACTTCACAGTAACTTTACTAGGAACTAATCCTAGAGTTCTAAATGTAACCATTGAGCTTAAATTCAAGAAGTGTATTCCTCACCTACTGTTCCAAACAATAGACTTAAAGTTGTTAATCTCCAAGGGCTTTCCATTCTCCTCTCTTTGGGGGAAATATGTTATCTCATTTTGAAAAGGCTAGTCAGGAATATTAATGATTGAGGCTGTTTTCTCTTAGCAGTGATGGAAATGGCAGGCGGTTAGCATGGTGGTTAGCAAATGACATGATCAAAAGTTATGCATTTCTTTCTGAAATCTGGATCGTGAGTAAATTGAATGCAATCTGCTGTTACTTGCAGCCAAAGAATCTTCAGTCATTTAAAAGTAGGAACCACCTGCATCATGCTTCAAGGGAACATATTTTGATGCCTGTCATACATATTTCACAGCTATGTCTTTAAATCAAAATGTAAATGCACATATATGGGTTCCTAAGTAAAATTTATTTCCCATTTCAAATACTATTTTGCAACATCTGAGTTTTTTTTCTTTTTTTTTTTCTTTTCTTTTTTTTTTTTTGAGGGACTGGGGATTGAAATCAGGCCTTTGTGCTTTCCAGGGAAGCACTTATTCTACTGAGCTATCTGCCCAGCCCCTTCATCTGAGATTTTTTAATGCTTCAATTTTTTAACAGAAGTACTCTCAATAAAACTGAATATCTTAATATACTGCATAAAATTATGTGTTTCAAAGAAGTTCACTCAAATAACTGAAAAATGCCCTATATTCTTTATGATAGTGATTATTTTAAATTGGTTACATGGCTACAGGAAAATTAAGAAAATCCTTTAATATGTCATGATTAGGATAGTTTGATCTTAAATTTGAGAATTAATAAAACCTCCAATATTAAACTCAATTGGACTAAACAAAACTAAACCCCTCCAATTTCACCTATTGAGAAATGCACCAATTTAAGTAATTTTACATTCAAATGTAAATGCAGTTAATATAATTCCTACATATATATATGAATGTTATTCAAGAGATTAATGGATACAGAAAAACCTAACAAGCACTATTGTGAATCATTTTCTGCTTATAATTATTCAAAGATAGCCTAAAACTCAGCAATAATAAATCAATATGGAATATTTAGAAAGCTTCACAGGTCTTATGCCACCCAGGGCCTACAGCAATATAGACTCACTCTTTCATTGTATATTGCTTGAACTTTATGTATCTTTAATAAAAAAATGAAGCTTCGGAATAATTACTTTTTAATTATTCAGAATAATTGTGGGACTAATTATAAATAAATGACAGCATAAATGACAGATAAGGTCATTGCAAAGGTTCTTCTATATTATTAAGCCAGTTTAAATTCATAACAGATGTTTAAAATTTTCTGAATTCTATAATGTACCCAGTTCTGCCAATAGACAAGAAGAGTAAATGACTCATTTTAGAGGGAAGAGCATTAACATTTTCGTCTGAGAGGGCTCCATCTCCCGAGGAAAAGTAAGTTAGTAAATGTAACCCTAATGATGTAGAAAAGTTAACTCTTTATGGCCTTGATGGCTAGGAGCCTGAGACAGGTCACAGAACATGGGAATCACTTACCATGTTTATAACTTTTTAATAAACTTGTTTATAATTTTAAGAAAAGAAGCAAAAGCTCTAAGCACACAAATAGCACGTAATTAATCTCCACAAATTAAACAGTAGTGTCATGGAATCGATAAGAAATGCACAGACAATCAACCATACCATCTAAATATCATGTTCAGATAATAAAATGGGGATATCTCTGATATTAATTATAATAGGAATAGTTTCTGTCTAATAAATGTTTTTTTCTCATGTACTAAAAATAGCTCCATTATACATTGTCTCTTTAGCTGATAATCATCAAATCCATTTTAAAATTTAGAGCATAATATAACTATCTATATCAAACTTTATATATGTGCTTTTTGAACATTGAACATTAATAATAACCTCTAATATTGGCATTCATTAAGCCAGGTATGGTTTAATTCACTAGATAAAAACATATTTTGTAAAGCTTTTCTGAAATAAGACTTTACATCAAAGGACTTTCAATACAAAAAGTCTTGAAAATCAATTTTGTTATAGTTGCAGTTATCTTTTGGCATTGATGACATGGAATTCACTTTTATGGACAATCTTTTTATTTTAAAGTTCTATGGACTAAGAAATAGCAAAATTATCTGCTTTTCCATAAACAGTATTTAGCAAAACAAAGTTATTTTTCTTTAAATGTATGATGACACAGGCAGTATATAAAGGATGTGTATTAATTTTATTGTTTGTCTTCCCCACACCAAAACAGGATTTCATTATTATCAAATGTTATTGTCATTTGAAAGATAAATTATTGATTGTGGGCTGCAATTCAGTATTTCTTCATTGGTTGTTAGGAACACAGGTCATATGCTGGTGACAAAAAAAATTTCTCCTTACTGTGATAAGACCAACCTGATAGACTGCCACTCCTTTCTGAGCTGTTGTGAGAGCTGGTGGTGCTGAAATCCTGTGACTGGTTGTGTGGCATTCTATTAGACAATCCCTCAGCCAATCGGTAGTCAGGGATGTAAAGTAAGGCTAAGGGTTAAAGGGCAAAGGTCATAGTGGCATCATGTGATTAGTTTACAGCACAAGCCCATGCAGAACATGCAGTTAGCAACTCAGAAGCAGATGTTGTAGGACAGTGAAGAATGTTTTATTTATCCTGTCCTAATGGAAGTAGAGATGGATTGCTGATCACTACACTGAAAAAGAGTTAGAAGGATGGAACTGATTGGTGTTGATTGTGGTGGTGGTAGTGGTGGAAGTAGTGGTGGTGGTGACAAGGATTGTTTAAGGTACTGAATACATACATGCTGGTAAATATTTTTAGTTTAGGAAATAAACCCAGTAATGAATCACTAAATTCAACAACAAATACTAATTTCTATGTCATGCACAAATGATATGAAATAACTCCTCGAGACACAAGAACTGGACTTACCATTATTACCTTTGTTCTGATCAGGTAGAGAATAACCAAATCCCATCAGATCTGTTTTTTGCTGAATTGAGCTTTTCCACTGTGGATCAGGCAGATCGACAGCCAATTCATGGATGCTACTGGAATGCAAGATCTGTGTCGTGGCATATGGGGTAGCCTGTGTTATTTGGCTGGAACTGTTGTAAGTGGTTTTGGTAGTGAAGTCAATGCTACTGTAAATGGCTCCATCTGAGAGCATTGTCGCTGTTTTATCTCCTTGGCCTGGAACGGGTGGCAGCACATCTGTGGTGAACATGGGGAAATGAAGCAATTCAGTGGTGCCCGGGAAACCCAAAACTATCAGGACTGAAGATGAAAAATAAATGTGTCACGCCACACGTTTGCATTTCAGCTGAGATGGGCTTCATGAGCCAGTGGAGGGCAGATGATGTACAACCATCGCTAAGCTATCAACTTCAGTGACAGCCAGGCCTCCTGCCTGTCCTTCACATCTCACCGCTTAACATAGCCCTTTCCCTGTTTTCTTCAACCATGAATGAAAAGTTTGGAATATTTCACTAATGAAAAAAGCTTTTGGTTGTTCAAACTGTTTTAAACACAGGGAAAGTGTTAGTGCTTTGCAAAAACACTGGGAAGAAGGAGTAGACAAATCATAGGTGGAAACATCTTGTTCCACTTTAATGTAAAGGATGTATGAACATAACTGCAGACCCATTGTGAAATTTTACAAAATTATAGTATCTCAACTATGAAATACACTTTTCTGAATTTGTAACTTAGGCTTTATCTGCTTTAATTGCATAGCACTAGAAATGAAGAGTAGGTGATAGTAGAAGGTGTGTTGCTTTTTTTATTTGGATAACAAAGGAAAATTTTCATGAGTAAGTTGTTTTCACAATACAGCAGGATTTAATGATAGAAAAAGCAATCACAGTGATCAGGGTGTTTAATTTATGCTATCAAGTTTGAGAAGTGGAGAATTATAGTTTCATGTTGTAAAACAGCAAGAGTAAAATTAAACTTCAGGAAAAACACTGAATATCAATCAGTCCACTTATCATTTTGGTATGCTAAATTATCTTTACAAGATCCTTTGTAATTCAAATATGCCACCTCTCTCCTGAGCATTTATTTTCCATTTTCAGAAGAATAATATTAAATGAAACTAAAAGAGAAATCATTAACACTATTTTTTAATCATGTAGCATTAAAATAGAACTAATTGTGGTAACTTTTTAATAATATGTGCTATAAAATGTCACTTTACAGGATTGAAGGCTATAAGATCACTTGATCTCATTCTAGGAAATTTTCAGCTGTATTGTCACGTTCAATGATATCTATTCATATTTGAAGATTCTTAGAGAAATATGAGTTTTCCTTTTCTATTTTACAAAAATAAGAATAGTCTTTAAGAACGGATAAAAGATAAAAATAGTTCCTTAGGAACAGTTGCAAAAATTTCATATTTTATACTCTGCAACTTTTGTCTCCCTGGAGACAAAAAGTTTGAAGTTTGCCAACTTATACAAGTAAGTAGATAAGTACTTTATTGATTTGTTTTCATTTCATCAGTTCATCAATTTTATGATTACAAGACACAACTTGCAATAGTGAAAGCAGACTCTGTATACAGAAACCTAGTTACAAGAGATGGAAGTGCAGTGGGCAGTTAGCCGCAGCTGTTGCCTGTGAGCCCACAGCAGTCCTATAAGGTTGATGGGATTCCAAAAGGAAGGCCTTGCCCGACGTGCACTAGTAAAGTTGAAATAGACGTCAGATCTTCTGATTCTAATCCCGTAATTTTTTAAAAAGTGAAATTAATCTTGACTTAAAGATCATGCTTTTATTGATATAAATATTTTAAATGTTTATCAGTGGGGTAAATATCCAAATTTATAACAGTTCAATAGGCTGCACTGTCATGTGTTATAGTTGATAGCTGTCCTTCTACAGCCTCATATACTCATAGGTTAAGCATGTAGGAGTGACTGGATTATGGATATATTATAGTGCATCAGTCCACTGATTGGTCGCTGATAGTTCTGGGTCTGAATGATGGGCTTGCTGAAGAGCAGTGACCCATCCTGGGTGTGAGTAGCACCAACCAATAGGCTTGCATCCTGGATGGAATAGAAAGGGAAAGTAAAGGAAGTCCTGCTGATTGCTGCTTGGCTGGCCATGAGCCTTTCTTGCCTGCCACGCTGCTGCACCTTGGAGAGGCTCACTATGGACTGAGGCCCCCACCCACTGTGAGCGAAAGTAAGCCTATTCCTCTTTAGTTTGTAGGTATCAAGTATTTTATCCTACAAATGAGATACTTACTGAGACAGCAGGGGGAATTGTTTTCACTTTTAAGAATTTTACAACTGTGAGCTTACTTTTTGTTTCTAGCTGAATATTAGTTGCAAAATTGATATTAAACATGCATATTTTCTATTCTCTCAAAATGCATATTTCAATGATACATTAAAGTTAGTGAGAATAGGTGCTTCTAAGTTTTCACATTTTGTTTATTTGCCTGCTACTCTTCTTCTGATAACCTTTGTCCAGTTGAAATATTTCTCCAAAGTGGGCTTCAGTTTCACTTAATGTGAACTTAGAGTCCTCTAAAGCTTTAGATTAGATTGTATGCCAATTCAATTGTAAGTTGTTGGCATTATTTGGTGCTCAAATGATTGAAAAAAATAGAAATAGCCTAAGTACCCAGTCCTATCTAACTGCATACTATAATAGCTAAAACAATTTCTTTCTCTGTATATATCTATATATCTATATATCTATATATCTATATATCTATATATCTATATATCTATATATCTATATATCTATAGATATATCTGTCAGTCTGTCTGTCATGCTGCCATGCCTTGGAGAGGATCACTGTGAACTGAAGCCTTCACCCCCTGTGAGCCAAACTAAGCCTTTCCTTCTTTAACACTCTCTCTCTCTCTCTCTCTCTCTCTCTCTCTCTCTCCTTACTAGACAATAATCTGCCTTTCACTCTACTCTGACTGCTCTCACATTTTCAAAAATGAATTATATCCCAACATTGAAATACTTACATCTATTGAAATAGATTATACATAAGTGTCTGTACATGAAGGAAACTCCTACAGTATGAAACGGCTTGGAGCTCCATACCAGGGTTCCTACCAACAAGCTGGATCAGAATATGGGCTTGCACCTCTTATAGACCCCACCAGACCAACTCTAATGCTTCAAGTTGTCTGACTGATTCTTGTTACATCTATGACTGAGACCCATCAGTTACAGAAATTCTTTGCTCCAGTTTCAATTAGTGATGCAACTTTTGAGCATGTCATTTCTATTAGCACTCATGGATTTGTTCATCTATTGCTGGCATGACACTGCTATGAATAATTGTCTTTTTCATTGCATCCTTTGTTACTTGAAGCCAGGTGCCCATAGGACTTATGTCTTTATCTCAACAATTCCTCACCTTCCCAGGGTTGTGACGGGAGCAAACATGAAAAAATTGTTAAATGATCTATTCTTTAATTTGCATTGACAAAACCAGAATTATTTGATAATTAGTAAGCTCTTCTTCATATACAATTTTCACTACATTCAAACATGTTTTGGTATTTCATTGTTAATAAGAAAATGTCACTATCAATGACTACTCTTCTATGTGAATATGGTTACATAACCACACATAGCAACATGATTTTGGACTCTAGTGCAGATAAAACAACCAAACAAAGTCTTAAATCCATCAAAATTGTGTGCTTTTTTTTAGACCTTGCGTGATTCATTTTGATAAACTTTCTTGACATTTAAATGCAAAAGTGGTTATTTACAATAATATAAGGAACATGAATTCAAAGTACAAAAACTTTAGTATTTTTGGAGTGCAGTAAATGCTTAAAATGACTATCATAATGAAGTCATACAATAAACCAGAAAAAGCCTTTTTTAGCCTTAAAATAAGAGGAAGAGTCAACAAATGGGTTAATATTAAATTAAAAAGTTTCTACACATCAAAGGAACAACCAACAGATTAAGAGACAAGCTATAGAATAAGATAAAGTGTTGCCTGCAGTCTCTCACACAGAAGCCTGATATACAGAACATAAAAGAACTGGGGTCGGGGAGATGGCTCAGCAGAATAAGCGCTTGCCTGGCAAGGACAAGGACCTGAGTTCAATACCCGGTTCTGAAAAAAAAAAAAAAAAAAAAAAAAAGAACTAAAAAAATTATACTCCCAAAATAAAATATTCAATAAAAAATGGGTAATCAGAATGAACAGATACTTCTCATAAGTATAGATGACCAATAAATGCATGAAAAACAACTCAACGTTACTAGACGTTAGATTTAAACCATCATTGAGATACAGTGTTACTCCAGAAAGCGTAGCTGCCATCAAGAAATCAAAGAAGAAACACTAAAGTGGCTGTGGGGAAGTAGGAACCCTTCTGTGCTACTGGTGTGAACCTGAGCTGCTACCTCCACCATGGAGATCAGTATGGGGAGTTCTTAAACAACTAAAAATTGAAGATCCTTTCTACTTGGGTAGTCTTTTTCTAGATATATTACCCAAAGAGTTAAAGTCCTTATATTACAGTGACACAAACATATCCATGTTTATAGAAACTCAATTTGATAGTTAATTCTTAAACCTGAGAAAGAGTTATACCCTGAAATTGGTCTATATGTGTGCTAAACGATAAATGAAGAAAGAATAGATAGCATGTAGACACATTGGAGTATTACTTTGCCATAAAGAAGGACTAACCTGAGGCATTTTTAGGAGAATGGATGTACTTTAAGATGATAATGTTGAGATAAACTTTCAATATTAGAGCACTTCTCCTGCATGAGAACCCTAAAATGTAATGAAAGAGCAAACCAAAGATAGAGTTCAAGAAATAGGGAGACCTTCTTCAAATAGAAGAGATGCCAAGAGACGGAGGGAGAGGGGAGTGAAGTTAGGAAAAAGAGATAAAAAGGAGAGAACTGAAGAAAAAATGCAAATAGAGGGGCCGGGGAAGTGACTTAATAAACTAAGCACTTTCCTGGTAAGCTCAATGGCCTGAGTTCAATCACCGGTAAAAAAAAAAAAAAAAAGAAAGAAAGAAAAGAAAAGAAAAAAAAATGCAAAAAGAACTTTTGCAAATGGTAACAGGAAGGGGGCTGGAACTGGAAGACATGGAGAAGAAATGAGCAGAAAAAGAATTAGGACATGCAATGCACAGGTACAAACCAGCATGATGAACATACTGCAGAGAGCTGTGTGGGCCTTAAAATTCGTCTGTGACAGCTCTCATTTCACATAGATGAGGCAGAAATGGAAGAGAACCTCACACAACTACACATGTACATTCCCTTTGCTTCAAGAAGACCAAGACATCTTAAATGTTAACATCATCAGCGAAAATGTGAAAAATGAAACTTTCTTTTTCATCTTTTGGCATTTATTTTGTGATAGAAAGATCTAATGCATAGATGATACGTAAAAAAGGCAGTTATCCTTGATATGATGAAAGCTGTGGGAACTGAATTTCTTTAGATTAGAGAAGTCTTCTCTCTCCGCTCTTTTTGCAAGGAGGGGCTTGGCCAGGAGAATCCCAAGGCAGAGTGATGGCATACGGTTTCCAAGACTGGACACCTAGAGAAGCCAATTAATCATGAAGTGTCTGGGCAAGTGACACCCGAAGGGTTGCATTTGCTGACAGAGAAAGCCAGGAGCTGAGGACATACACAACTTGCTTTCTGTTCTCTCACTTTCTACTGATGCTACTTGGAGCCAATTATATGCTAAAGTTTGTTCTAAACCTACATACATACATATACTATTTTCATCTCTTTGATTCAAAACTATTTTATGCATTATATTTAGATAAAGGGAAGAGGCCCACCTTGTTATAGGTCATACTGACAGAAAACAGGCTTGTGAATGACTTTGTGTCTTTACCATCTGATATGGCTTTTAAATTCTATTCACACACTTTGACAATCCATTCATAAAAAAGATAGCAGCATCCATGATTGTTCATCTAAGTGAATATGGTCATATACTCCTGCTTGAGAAATCCATCTTCTAAGACTAGAGTAGTTTAGAATAGTCCTGGCTTTCATGAATGAAGTTTAGACGTGTAGAGATCTTCTAGGCTACTCATCCAAATTGTTTTTCATTTACAGAAATATCATTAATATCAATCTTATTTCATTTTACACCCAACATCAGGCTGTACAATTTTAAAAGTTCTTACATCCTAGCACTTTCCTCCTTAAAACCATCAATGGCTAATTGTCCTTTAAACAGTGTAAACTACTTATGTGACTTAGGATGTCTTCTGCTATGTCTCCTTCTGCATTGTTTCTAATAACCCCGCTGCCTTGTAGCTTTTATTCATATCATTAGAAAATCCCCATTCCTCCCTCCCTCTTGCCTCTTGCCTACCTACCTTCCTTCTGTCTCTCCCTTCTTCCTGCCCTTGCTTTCCTTCTGTCCTTTTTCCTTTCCTCTTTTCTTTGTGTTTCTTTCACAGTACATAGTAATTTCAATCTTTCACTTGGCATGCAAGTTGTGGATTGTGGAGCTACAGGAAGGAATTTCTGAACACTTTGTCCTATTTACTTAACTGTCTTTTTCTCCCATGATACATTACAGGAGAGTAGAATCCATTATAATTTACCCTGATGTTATGTGTTTCCTGCCTACTTTGCACATATGCCCACAGAAGGTGTTCAACAAAACATGTTGAAGGAGATTTAGAGAATCAAAACATGGTTCAAAATCCTAAGCCCCCTTTAGAAGCATAAGTCTTCATTTTAGTAATTGTATGCTAGTATTTCTGGAAACAAAGTATTAAGAATACTTGTCTTCTCGATGAGCAATGACTTCCTATTTTCACGTAAGGCAATATAGATATATTAGTTTTATATTAAAATATTTAGTAAATGTACATATAGCACTATTAGTATGCATGCTTTATTACCTTGACTATAAAACAAAATGTTAATATGACTTAAAAAACTGGGAAAACAAGACCAAAAAAATCACACCAAATATCATTATTCTGAAACATACAACTTACCTCCACGTCCAAAATTCCCAATTTCACTTGGTCCACTATTGCTATTGTTTACTGGCAAACTTGTGGCTGGCCATGAATCAGCAAGCCATGGATAGTTGGGATCACCAGCATTTAGCAGACCTGGACGGCTGAAGTAGAAACAAGAAAGCTATCAGCCTGTGGAGCATCATGCAAGAAGGTGACATCTGTGTCATGCATGGAAAACTATTAAGTTATTGAAGAAGATTTTAATTGACTTCAAATTAAAATATGTAGACTTTCAAGAATGAAGGCACTTTAGCAGCTCATCGGGACTACATATAGATCATGCCTGTTGGTGGAAGCTAAGTCCTTGCTTGGAATTCTGCCTACATTTAAATGAAATCTGTTGCCTGCCCTGAGAGTGACAGGACTCGGTGACATAGGAACCCGAAACACTGTATGACGACACAGTGACACCTCAAGGGGATAAATACTCAGAGGAAATGATTGGTATCAACCATCTCCCAGGATTGGAGCCATCGCATTCTTGATTCCTACAGCTGCCACATGAATTTGTCCTCTTCAGGCAGTCATCTTTGTTATGAGCTCTTGTTCTTGTTTTAGAGGCCAAGAACTTGAAGAAAATTAATGATAGTACTTATACTGTCCCATCAGTAGCACATTTCCTAGTTGTCTAAATTCCAGAATAGCAGGAGTATATGAAGGGATTTTTTTGTTAAGTTAATGCAGTATCCACTGTATCTGATCTGGCGTGTGAACTTACAAGGGAAATTTCCTTAACATCATATTTAATAAAGAATTCCCTACTATAATCTAAAAGATGGATTCTAATTCCTTGCATGCTATTAGCATATTTACCAAGAAATAGAATATCTATAATGTACTTTTTTTGATAGACCCATTCTGGTAAAATCCCTAAGAGAATCATGTGTTTCTATGGAAACTGCAATAAGAAGATTCAACTGCTTTTTTGTTACATCCACTAGCTCTCATTAGACTTAATTTCTTTTTGCTAAAATATTGATTAAATGGGAGATTGGAAGTTATTACCAGAGCCTAATTACAATCTCCATATTGGCAAAGGGAAAATAGATGAGGATATATGGGTTTGTTATCAGCTTTTATCAATTTCAATTGAGTATCCAAAGTTGTGGAATCCAGTTCTATCAATCTACAGCCTATTCATCATCCATGAATCATTTACTTTGTGATCGATTATGTGTAATTGTTCACTCACAGCAATTTAGTGAGAGCCAATAAGGAGTCTTAAACAACAGCAACTTCATTTGCTAATGTCTAATTAATGCAATAAACATCCTGCTAACAAATGAACACATTCCTTGTGATATTTACTACTAATTTCTTCAGGGGCATCTGGGAGATATGAAACATCTGGACTTGATTCCTCTAAAGTGCACAAGAGATAGATCATTAAACCTTGTGGTAAGCCATTTAATTCCTCCTAGAATTCTCTGACTTGTAAGTGATCGTTTATTACAATAATAGCCGCTTACTACAGACTTTCCTCAGTCCTGATTAAAATTAACAATAAAAAGCAATCCTCTTAGCATACCTTCCATTGCTCATGAGCCCTCCATCTCCTCTTTGAAATGTAACTGTAAAAAAGGAAACACACACACACACACACACACACACACACACACACAGTCAATATTAATTACGATTCATAAGAACTACATATTGGACCTCAGCTTAGAGCTGAAGCCCCTGGGAATTTTAACAAAATATAATTAACATGATTATACAAATTGTACAAGCAGTAGTTTAGCTAAGGGCAAAGCCAATACTTGCTTCAACTTTAATAGAATATTTCAAGTTTCTTCAAGCAAATTGTATAGTGAGGGTAAAGTGACACTTTGTATTTAGATGTCAAACACCACTGCAAGTGGTATGTATAATGTTAGAAGATCAACACAGCATTAATGTGCTGTTATTAAACCAAGATTATCTTAACACGAAACTGTCTTAATCAGACAGCGAAGCACAAAATACACTGCTGGAAATGACACAGGGTCATTCCAACAGGTAATATTCTTCAAATAAAGAGAAACAAATACTTACGGAACCTACATTTATATCACAAGTACTTTAAGGTATACTCGTAGGAACCATTAATTGAATAGATAGAATTAAAATAGAAATGCATTATGATTAACATAGAGTAACATGCTTATGAAACTAAATTTTTCAAGCAATTGATACTGAATACACACCACTCTTTGCAAAGATCACAAAGTGTAAGTTTTAATCAAAACAGTAGAACTTATTAGTGACACTAACAAGCATGACAGAGGATTGGGGCCCATGAATCCACTCCTCCCAGAATAGTGGCTTTGACTTCACAAAGCCAATAACCTGACAGTGCTTTCAAAAATCAACCAAAGAATGTAATTATTAGTACAGATCCATGTCCTTTATTCAAAACCTCTGCAGTCAAATGTTCATGAATTTCAATGCAATTTGTATCTGTGAAAAGTAATATATTTTACATATTACAAAGAGTGTATGAGGTAAAATGTACTCAAAGCCATGTGATATTTTTGCAGTGTACTGTGAATAGTATGAATAGTAGGATAAACTATAAGTGGTTTCACAGTTTGGACTGAGTTTTGATGCAAAATAACTAGATAATAATGGAAATGAAAATTACTAAGGAGTTTACGGATTTTACAAAAATGCAATCAACTTGTAATTCTGACCAAAATTTTTATGGGCCTGCTCACTAAGCACAGGGCCAAAAGGAAACAATACCATTTTCACAGCTATGAAATGAACAACTAGCATATCCTTTAGAATCTATTAATTATATTCACTATGTCTTCACTGGATGGTGAGTTAAGATAAAAATAAATTTTTAATTAATTAATTAATGCTTTAAATAAGTAGGATGGGGCTGAAAAGATAGCTCAGCGGGCTAAGCACATGCTTTGGCAAGCGCAGGGCTAGGGTTTGATTCCCGGTCCTGAATGTCATGCCGGCCCAACCCAGGGGCTGCGCTGAGCTAGTAATCGAGTCCACGTGCGGTGGTGCATGCCTGTAATCCCAGCACTGGGGAGGCTGAAACAGGAGGATCACTGTGAGTCCAATCTGCATAGTGAAACTTTGTACCATGTACATAAATGAATGAATAAATAAAATAAAGTGAAATTATTGCTACTTATTATATAAACATAACGAGTATTTTGGAATTTGAGTAAAGCCTCTTTCTTGAGTTTCAGGTAGCAACTATGATAATTTTTTATATTTTTAAAAAGTTTCTAAGTGTGTAGCCAGGGAGATGCCTCAGTAGAATAAGTGCTTCCCTGGCAAGCGCAAGGGCCTGAGTTCAATCCCCAGTTCCTCCAAAAAACACTCGAAGTGCATTTCTCCAATCCCTTCTTAGAGATCATCTAATAAAATTCTCTCTTATGCCATCATAATCAGGCAACATGAACATAATTCCAAACATCTTTCATAGTTTTAGGAGACTGAAATATCTCGAGGCCTCCAAACATAACTTGTTGATACTGAAATATACTGTCTTATCAAATTTTTTCAGGTAATATCTCAAAGGTACTGTAAGCCAATCCTGAGACAACTTTCCCTTGTGTTTGGAATTAGCCATGGATTACACTTCAGAGAAGATGAAAAAAATATCGATCACTAGTTGCCTACTTAAGTGCTGGACACCAGGAATCAGCAGTGAGCCTAATAACTGCATTTAACAAAAATGTGTTAACCTGAAACAATGCTAAAAAATTATACACTGAAAGTATTAAAGAAAGGCCTGATTAGAACACATATGTGTGCTTTGCATACATACAAATGCACGAGTGCGTGCACACACACACACACACACACAAAGTACAAACATTGTGAAAGTGGTTCAGCTAATTATCTTTCAATCTAATGTGACTCTCTAATAATGTGAGTTTCTTTAATGAAATATCAAGCAGTTGTTTTACTCTGCTGAAAGAAAGTTAAGACGGTGCTGAGAATACTATTGTGAACATGCAAATAGTGGACTCTAGATGGGCTGCACCTCAAAATGCGCTGTTTAAAAGACAGGTGAAAAACTAAGTTGTTCTCCCCAATTAAAATCTGATTTCTTCCAAAATAAATTTTCTGTCAGTGCCCGAGGAGTAAATAAAAGTGAAAAGAAGACAACTGAAAAAGTAATGACAAAACAATGAAACCTTACTTGAACCTGTATGCTTTCCAATGAGAGCTCCTTCATAAAACGTGAAGCCTAAAGTATGACGATGTAACACACAAACGCTTATCAAAAAGGAGTTATTCGTTATGGCTAATTCACAGGTGTGCTGGAGTATGGACCTTGTGATTTGACCCAGACTTGCCAAACAGGAACTAAATTTTCTGGTTAAAAGAACTGAAATTTCAGGGCCTCTCATGGTCCTCATTCTGAGCAGGTACATTTTCTGTTTGTGTCTCAGTCATCATTACAACGTGCTGTACAAATGTTCCCACAGTGCACACAGGCAGCAGACATTCAGGAAGGACCTTATCATTGCATAGCAACTATACAAGGGCAAAAAGTCAGAGGATGTTATATAAACAGTTGGCTAACCTAAAGCAGCCCTTAGTCATTTTGGAATATACAAGAATCTTCAACTCGGTACACTTCTGTCCTAAAGAAGAAGAAAGGGGAAAAAGAGGAGGAGGAAGTAAAAGAAGATCAAAATCAAGAAGAACAAAGAGGTGGTGGTGATGGTGGAGGATTGAGAGCAACAACTCCCCCCACCGCAGACACATCCTTACCACAACAGTGTTGATTATCTGTGCTTTTAAATGAAGATGGAAAGGAGAACATATTTTCAATATTGTTCTTTACCATTTGCTCTAAAATTCGTAAATTCACTCCATTTTGAAAAGTATGTCAAAAATAGCTTAGTTCTACTTAATAACAAAATTATAGTTGGACTACAAATAGGGATGAACAATTAGAGCTTAGAAAGTGGAAATTATAAATGGTGTTTCAATCAGCAGTGTATATTTGTGTGCAGAGAAAGCATAAAAAAGTGCATAGTAGGCTAAATGACTTTTTTTCTTTTGTATTGCGAATTGCATTCAGGACCTCCTGTTTGCCAGGCAGGCACTCTGCCACAGAGCCAAATCCCCAGCAGAAGGCTTGTTTGTGAAGTAGTTCTCTTGTTTGGTAAAGATTTGACTTGAAGAAAAAGAAACCAGGAGTGGGGTTGTTTAGTGTGTGCTTACAGTTTCTTCTTGTCACAACCTTTATAAGCACAGTGTAATAATATTGTGCTGATAAGAGATTGAATAATTATGACTTTTAATGTGAAGTGTCTGCTAACATCGCAAATTAAGAACTTTCATAAAGCGCAACATTGGAACCTTTAACAATGACTAGCCAGAGAGTTTGTAGAACTCTCCACAGATACCACAATGTAGATACGCATGAAATATTTTGAATTTGTTGCACTTTTATGATGGACATAAGTCTAAGAGATTTTGTAAAATTATATTAGACACCAAGTGCCTCTCCTCTTATGTGAAAGGGTCAACATAAAACTTTGTTGGCTAAAATAGAAGAAGGAGAGGAAGAAAATGTAGCTATGTGCTAAACTGACATGTTTAGGTAACAGATACTTCAGAGCATCTCTATCTAGTAGGTCACATTTTCTTATTTCAGATGTATACTTTAATGTGGCAGTCAAAACTTATTCCCTGCCCTGATAAGTTATTCCTGAAAATTAAATACAAAATAATCTCTTTTAATAAGCATTAATTAAGCCTGAATGATCAGAGTATAAAAATTCCTACAAATCTTTTAACTGTATTTGAATAGCTTTGGTAAATACTTTATATTTCAAGAACAGTTTTAAAACTTATGTAGGAAATGTTTAGTACACTGTATTTTGCTCATTCTTTTAAATTGTTTAAATTTATTAATTTCATAAGATGTTATCCTCCAATATGATATTCATAAAATGATATTATCCCTTCATTAAAATTTGATGACTTTGGGCTGGCCAAATAGCTCAGCAGATTAAAGTATGTGCAAGCAGGTGTAGCGGCCAGGAGTTCAATTCCCAGTCTTGCCATGCCAGCCCAGCCTGGGGGAAGGCTGAGAGGGCTATTGAGACTGGGCGTGGTGGCTCGTTCCTGTAATCCCGGCACTTGGGAGGCTGTAAACAGGAGAATCACTATGAGTCCTATCTAGTAGTGAGAACCTGAACACCCTGTAGACCCTTCCCTAAAATACAGGAAAAAAAATGATGACTTCAATAATTCTAAATAGAAAAGGGATAGAATAACCTTGAAAACAGTCATATAGCTTTCATAAATATAGATAGATATAGATATAGATATAGATTTTTTTAATGTAACTGGCACAAGGGTCTCACTATGCAGCTCTGAGAGTGATACATCTGTTTTCAGCCTCCCCAGCTCTGGGATTATAGGCATGTGCCACCAAGCCTGGTCACAGTGGCGGGCTCCTTCAAGATGTGCCTGAGGAGAGGACTGGTGCCATGTGTGGTGCTGGGGATCGAACACCAGTCCTTGCGCTTGCCTAAGAAGGCACTTAGTCCATTGGGCTACCTTGCCAGCCTTTCATAAAGATTTTAATGTGTTTATAAATAATTCTCATGAAAGCTACAGGGATGTTTTTGAAGCTTAGGTTGTTTATCTACACACATTTATTTAGAGTTTAAGATTGCCTAATTTGGTGTATTTTCCCCCAAAATTTATCTATGATTCTCTTTTACCTTAAAACAACTTAGATAATAAAGCCTCCTAGCATTCAGGAACTGTCAGTGCAGTAATAAAGAGATAGTTATTGCTCATTGAAAAGATAAATAGCACTGCCTGTTGGTCTATAATAGTTTGCAATTGTTTCACATTATAACATATGATACTTCTTTGTTCCCACAGCCCTTTGAATGACATGGGTAAGTCTATGATTGTACTTGTACTGGAACAATTTAAGTAAAGGATAATTGCAAAAAAAATAAAATTAAGTACATATTTAACAATGTCCCAGAGAAATTTCTACCTTCTCTGTGTAAAGCAACAAAATACATTTAGGTCAAGTTCTCTTCCCCAATGATTTAAATGGATACATTTATATTGTAACCTTCACACTTATTTATACAATGTAAAGTTTAATCTGTTAGTGTCCAGTAATAATATGTGAAGCTCACTGACATCAAATGAACAGTTTAGCAGTCCTTTCCTTTTCTAAGTTTTCAATATAATTTTCCATAATAACAGCAAATGAAGCAGCAAGAATAATAAAGTTAGTGGATAATGTTTTTTATACATAGATGAGCAGAAGTTATCCTCCCCAAATTAGTACATTGCCCTAAAAGTACTCCTAGGCTCCCACTAGTCAGTATCTTATTTTACCACTAGAAACTAAGAAGAGACTTGGAAAAAAGTAACAGGAAAAAGGGAATGTGGAAATCAAACATGGATTTCTGTATAATCCTACTTACATTCAGTCTCACTTTCCTAATAGTGTGTCTGCCAATACACAGATTGCACCAAATGTTTAATTATCAGTAAAACTGGAGTTTAAATTAATTTGAACAATGATTCCTAAAGACTTTTTTTTTTTTTTTTTTTTGGAAGGATCTACAGGGTGTTCAGGGTCTCACTATTAGGTCAGGCTTGTAGTGATCCTCCTGTTTACAGCCTCCCAAGAGTGGCAATTACAGGCGCACATCACTATGCCCAGTCTCAATTGCCACCTCAGTGCACCCCAAGCAGGCGCAAAGGACAGGGGCAAGGCCAGCAGGCCCCTGCGCCTGCTTGCAGGTGCTTTAATCCGCTGAGATATTTGGCCAGCCCCTCCTAATGGACTATTTGCTATAAAATAATTATGACTTACATGTATCAACAATTAGAAACTATGTAAAATATATTTGAGATATATACTTTCTCATGTTGTAAAAAATGGAAACTAGACTCTCACATGGTGAATGAAAATATATTGCTTTAATTTTATTTAGTTTAGTTTTCATAATCATGAAACATCAGAAAAAAATTCTATGAAAATGAAAACAGAAACAGAACCAGTACAAATATAATACTTTCTCCATAACTGTTATAAAACACTTCTGAGGAAAATAATTCTGCATGAAACCACAGTGCTCATAAATTGGATTACTGGCTCATGTTGGAAATATAAGAAATACAAACATATGATGCATACATACTCCACTAATCCATGTAAAATTTTCCATGTAAAATACCATGTTCTCATTATTGGATAAAGAAAAGAATGTGACATTTTAATGGGGTGCAGAATAGTTATTTTGGAGGGGAAATTTGGAAGAAATATCACAAGTGAAACATGGACTACTAGTGGCTCACAATATACAAGATTTTCATTTGTTTCTCATCAATAAGAAGAGAGCAGTTGAGAAGGCAGATGACTACCTGAAGGGAAATCCATTTTGAGTCAGCCATCTATCAATTAAGCAAAAAAGTTTTGAAAGCCTTTTCCCTGGCCTGGCTTGCTTCCAAAATACTTGAAGGGCACGGCACTATTCTGAGTTAGCAATTTTTCTAAGCACAGGGATATCAATCACAATGAAAAATGATAATAAGAAATGGACTATTGTCAAACTCAAAGACCAATAGATATTTTCAAGTTAAGAGCACATGTTTTGCAAAGAGCTGCTGTTAAAATGAAAGAATACAAATCAGTGTGATGTTAACTGAACTAAAAGTGCAAACCTACTGACAATGGCATGTATTTTATTATGAAAAGGGAGGGAATGGAGGAGCAAGGAGATTAAAAACTCATAATTTCTTATTGGAGTATATTAGTACTTTGACCTGAAGTGGTTTTATTAGCATAACTTTTATTATAACTTTTATTATAAAAGTTATTATTTATGGATAAACACAAAAGTGTCCTTGAATTAAACCAGTTATTCTTACATATAACATGATCTATGCAAGTCTGTCATGAACTGAAATACCACATTGAGGTGATGCAGCAGCTGCGCTGAGGGACAGTACTTCCACGGGTGAAGGATGAGGAAGGGATTGCAAAACAAGAAGATACATTTACTTAGTTTGGATGTCTCAGACTCTGATACTCAAAAGTTACTCCAGAGCATCCCTGCCAGGAAAACGTCTCTAACTGGTAAAGTGATTTAGCACACAGATGATGACCTAAGGAAGCAGGGAGCCAGCAACCAGGAAGCGAGAATAGCAGAATTCAACATGGCGCTACACACAAAGCCTGGTGTCAATGGAGATGCGCTCGTACATTCTAAGAAATGTCATTCTAGTCTAAGAAACTCATACTAAACAATAAGTAAAACTTTCACCTTCACGATATGCACATATTTCTGACTTCTTTGAAACTCTATCTTGGAATGTTTTTATTTTTCGTATTTTAGGGAGGGGTTTACAGGGTGTTCAGGGTTTCACTGCTAGATTGGACTCGTACTGATCTTCCTGTCTACAGCCTCCCAAGAGGTGAGATTACAGGTGTGCACCACTATGCCCAGTCTCAATTACTGTCTCAGCATGCCTCTAGGGTACAGCCAGTACAGACTGTCTTGGATTTTTTAAAGATAATAACTTTGTAAACATGTAAAGCATCTGAGAGCTTTTTTTTTTCTGCTGCTTATTTTTCTTCTCCTTTTGTGTCTTTCTCAAAATTTTCCTTTCTTAAGATGCTGTCTGTACACATTAAAATACAGTCAATAACTGAACTGTAAACCATTTAATTCATGTCTTATCAATTTGATTAATTCTGATAAGATTTGGGCCTGTTTGTATTTTCTATCTGGGATATTTATTTGAATTCTTACATACCAAAAGCCATATTTCAGGGGCTGGGAAGAGAACTCAGTAGAATAAGTGCTTGCCTGGCAAGTGCAAGGGCCTGAGTTCAATCCCCAGTTCCACCGGCAATGATCCTGAGACTCTTTAGCAGGTTTTTGAAACTAGCAGTTAATTGGTAGGATTCTCACACTTAGTAACTACATATGCTCATACCTCTGAACCAAGCAACTGCACTGAATAGCAGTGTGTAATAGTATGGGCATCCTTGGAAAGCCTGTCATTCTGGTCTTCTAAATACATACTGCTTGTCGTGTCATATCAAGAAATAAAAAATAAAAATAAATAAAAGTCATATTTCAAACCTCCTTTAACTTCTGAGCATGTAGGCAATGTTCTTGCCTAAACATGCAACTAAACTAATTACTTCATAGCACCAGAGTGTGTGAGTGCCTGCTTTTAAGCACGCAAGTCTGTATTTATGTGTGTTTGAAGAAGTAGTTGAAGCAAATAACTGAGCGTTTCACCTGACTGTACTCTTGCTATTTTTCACTGGACATACAAGCAAAAAAAAAATCTTATAGTCATAAAGGGATCTATCAAGATCAACGCACTAACGCCTGTTGGTTACAGACTTTATCTTTAAAATAAGCCCAAATCCTTTGTGATTTCGCTGTACTTACAGTTTTCATTTTATTACATTCCTAAAGATTGGAAAATTCCTGGGAATTTTCTAGAAATAATATCTTACCAGCATAGTTACTGAGTCCCTTTCTCTTCTTTCTTCGCCAATACAACCAGAGGCTAAAACCCATCAGAATTACCCAGCAGGCTCCACCGATACCAGCTATAAAGGCAGGTTGCTTTACAACGTCGCTGATTTGCTCAGTTATGCTATTATTGTTTTCAGTGATGACGACTTCATTACGTCCTCCTAAGGAAAAGAAAATGACAATGCTAATAAATATTCAGACACAAGTAGACACTAGAATATATTGCGATGTATCAAAGGCACAGAATACCCGTTAAGCTCAGGTAACATTGGTTTTGTGCTATACTTACAATTATTGATAAGCATGTTTTGTACATGTAAAACTAAAAATAAAATCATGTATTTGAAATTATGATCAGGAGTATTGTTCTTTTTTTTTTTTTTCTTTTGGTGGAACCAGGGATTGAACTCAGGTAGGTCCTTGCACTTGCCAGGGAAGTGCTTATTCTACTGAGCCATCTCCCCAGCCCCACATTGTTCTTTTTGCATCAATTAAACATGAACAAATTCTGAAACAATTCTTGATTTACAGCTTTATAAACAAGTTAAAAAAAAGTACAATATGATGTGAAATAACATCAACTTTTAACTTCCCTCTCCCCCTTCTCCTTTTCTCTCCCTTTCTTTGTACTTTAGATTGAGCCCTATTATTGTTCCTGTCTAGATGTCCCCCAAAGCTTCATACAGGCCTGGGGTGGCCTTCTACAGTGTACTCCTGACTCATGGTCCAATCCTGTACTACAGGTATGAGTGTTACCCTCCGTGGGAGAGGTAGGCTGCATGCTTTATAAGGGAGGATAGAGGCTTGCTCTTGCTGCTCCTCCCTTTTTGCTCTTGCTGTTTTCTGCTGCTATGTATTGTTGCCCTCTACCATGTGCCAACCTGCCTTGGAGCCAACCCTGTAAGAATTGAAACCTCCACAAACTGTGAGATAATAAGCCTTTCCTTCCTTCATTTGGGGTGTCCGATATTTTGTCTCAGCAAGGACAGAAAAGTAACCTAGAAAAGCCCAGAGCAAGTGCTAGACAACCTCTCTAACACTGAGCTACAGTCCCAGGTACATTTTGAGATAAAAGTTATTGTCTAGCCTGAAATCTCCCTGTATCCGCCTACTCAATAGCTGAGATTACAGGTGTGTAACACTGTGCCTAGCTACTGTTTTTGGATTAGATAAGGTATTTTCTTAAATAGTTCTTATAAAAACCAACTTATTTAATACAGATAATTTAAAAATTGTTTTACTACTGAGCGCTGCCTATTTTAGAGTGGTCATGATTAACAATTTATACAATTTTATTTTATTTTTTAAATTTTATTTATTTATTT